TACATTACTAGTTACTACCATGTACATGTACATACACATTACATTGACATTAATGTGTCATACATTATAAGCAGTGAGTGACAATGGTAGTAACAGCATCACTGGATATAAAGAGAACTGTACAGCTAGACTCATTCCCATACCACACAGGAACCAGTTCCCTACAAAAAATTACTGGGCTTTCGTTAAAAATTTTCCCTGATTACCCAACCTTTTAATGACATCCATAACCCAAAAACAATACTGAGATTATTGAAACATACAGTGGAGTGGGCAGAACAAGAGAGTATTGAGAATGGATTAATTAAATATCTATAAAAGTAGGAGGAGCATAAGATCTATGAATAATTAATTAGCCACACCCACCACTTACACTGATGCCACTATTAAAGGTAATGACTTGTTACAAGTTATTAAGATAGGCTCCACCCCTTTTCCTATACCTCCTGATTTTATTCTTTGCTCTTGATTTTTGAGCTACTTTTAGTAACAATGTGCTATTATTAGAATTGCCATACCTCATTCTGATGATGTAATCTTGTCAGTTGAGCCAAGCAATATGCTATTAATATATCTACAACCTTATAAAGAAATAATGTCACATGACCAGGTGTCACATGATGACTTACAATAAAAAATAATCCATTAATTACGTCACCCAGAGGTAGCAAATATTGAAATAAAAACAACACTAGAGGGGTCTAGAATTTTTTTAATCAATTAATCATTGATTAATTAGCATCACCTCATGAAATAGATCACTTTGATAAGAAGATAGCCCCGCCTCCTTTAAAGCCACACCCTCTTTTACTAAATTAAATTATAAAAAAGAATAGTTTGTTTTTGCCTCTTACAGCGTGTCCATGAGTTGAGTGGTGTTGATAGTTCAATTCTATCGCTGAGCCAGCCACTGGCCTCTTGCGACAATAGGAATAGACGCAATAACACTGACACTGCTAACACGTGGTACATGATCTGGTACTGTTTGTTTTACGATGTTAGATCTAGTATACGGGAATATTTAACAATCTGGGAAACCCCTTCAAAAATCATCTTCAAAAATCATGGCTGCAAATAACGCTTCTGTCTCGATTTTACTGAAAGACAAGGCTGGTTTTCATTTTAAAGACGATGGAGCTCCATGGCAGTGCAAAGTACCTAAAGGAGAATTTGTAATTGAACAGCCGAAAGAAGAAATACGTCCGATTGAGAGTGATAGATCTAAGTCTCCACCAAATTATCGTTTGTATAGAGATGATGAATACGTTGTTTTATATTGTGGGCATATGGATGTATCTCCATTAATAGGAAGCGAAATGGAGTATCTATTAGCAGTAGAGCCTCTCAGCACACGATTGCAGGAATACCTCAAACCAGAGGAGGTGAAGAAGAAATTGGATTTAGTCGTTGGCGACACTGTGATGTTTAAATTGAAATTGAAATCTGATGCTACTGCTTATGTGAAAGGTGTAATACGTTACATTGGTCCTATAGAAGAGAAGCTTGGGA